TAGTGCAAGCAGGAGCGCTAGTTCATCCTGCTTTTTCCCCATGCTCCTAGCATTAGTATATAGGCACTTGAGCCCTGCGACTGGTGCCTTTGCTGCCGCCCCGCTCCGAGTCCCAAGGGGCCCTTTGTTTCTTACCTTCTTGTTTCTTACCTGTGCCGTAGTGCTGGCCTCCCCATGTCTTTCAGGTTCCCAATGCTCTCTTTCTTCAGGGTGGGCTGTCCTTGTGGGTGCCACATGGTTTGGTGGTCCACAGCTTCCCCCGCCCTCATCTTCCCCTCCCCGCGACGACCCTAGTTTAAAGCCCGCCGGAGGAGATCCACCAACCTAGAAGAAAACACACGCTTACCTTTGGGGGACAGGTGAAGCCCATCCCAGCTGACCATGTCCCTCGTTGTAATGTGTGGGTTGTTGTCCAGGAAGCCGAAGCCTGCCTCGAGAGACCACTGCCGAAGCCGCCAGTTGGTCTCTTGGATGCAGTTCTCATGCCGTCTTCCGTGTCCGTTCACTGGTAGGATGGAAGAGAATACCACCTGTGCACCGAACTCCTTCAGCACGCCGCCCAGAGCACTGTAGTCCGCCATCAGGTGATCGGGGGTTCTCCTGGCCGCATCATTAGTACCCACATGGACTAGGACCATGGGGTAGTAATCGGTGGGCTTGATCCTGGCCTGGATTACCTCCGTCACATCCCGAATCTTTGCTCCGGGCAGGCAGTATACCTCTCGTGCTGAAGGGTCCTGGCGACAGATGGGCCCTTCCGTACCTCTCAGAATGGAGTCGCCTATGACGAGCACTCGTCGCCTCCTCTTCTGGGTCCTCTTGGATCTCTGGACCTGTTCGGAGTGTGAAGAATGTGGTGTTTCTTCCTGGCCAAGGGTTTCCTCCTCCCCTTTCATCTCCTGCAGGGTTGCCAAAGGTCTTTTTGATCAAAGTAATGGAATGGAATGAACTTCCCAAAGATGTTGTGGCATCTCATTCATTAAATATTTTCAAGAGGAGGTTGGATAAGCATCAGACAGGGATAATTTAGGAATAGTATTCTTGCATTCATGCAGAGGGTTGGACCAGGTGAGCCTCAGCCTTCCAAGCCTGTGTTTCTGTGCTATAATATATGTTCAAATTCTTTCATCCTTTCTAACAATGTGTAGTACTGTCCTCCTGGAGAACATTTAAGTGAAACTGGGGGAGGTGTTTGCAGAGTAAGGAGCACAGCATGAGTCTGGGTGGCAAAATGTGGCCCCTTTTAAGTTCTTGCCTGACTTGCTCAGTGACGTTGTGGTAACAGATAGTTGCAATATATTATAGATTTCACTGGCAAGAGAAATAGTCATAATGCATACCTTTTATCTAGGTGTACCCAGGTGTTTTATAAGAAGCACCAAGGGCTAGATCAGGGGTCAGCAACATTTTTGGGCAGAGTGCCAAAAACACCTGCAATTTCAACTTCTAAGATGTTAGCATGCCAGGGGCAGATGGCAGGGGAGCCACAAGGAACCCAATCTTTGTTGTTGCCCTGTAGCCCTGACCCCCTCCCCACCATCCATCCACAGGCATGCATGCCAAGCAAAATGCCTCTGAGTGCCACACTCTGGCACCCATGCCAGGGATTGCCTACCCCTGGGCTAGATCATTCCTGGGTCTGCAGGTCCACACAGGGACATAGATTATAAATAGATCTAAGGTCTGAGTGTATGGAAGCAAGTGGTGGGGAATGGGATGAGCCATGCATGGTTCCCACTCTCAACTCCTTCCTAATATACATAAGTATATTTATAATGTCAGTCAGTAGAATCGAGTAAGCATGAGAAGGGTGCAGTAATTTGCTACTGATATAAGTCAGCAAACACATTATTGCCCCTTCAATATGGGGACAGGGAGAGAATTGTAGATTAATTTGTTGATCATTTTATGACTGGCCTTTAAGAGACCTACAGAATTTTTGCTACTTCTGTGATGACCTTTTAGTCCCTCTGTTGTACTGTAGCATTCCAGTGACATACCACTGAAGACAATACCATGGTAAGAAGCATGTAGTAGCTTGTATATTCAGTAGCAGTCAAGTAATAACAATAATAAAAAAGGCTACTCTCAACTTTTTCAAAGTTCCAGTTAAAGAATGCATGCTTGTTTGAGAGTGAGAAAGTTGCTCCTACTTCATCAGTGTTAATATATCAGGTCATCATAACAAAAATACTGTACTGTATATTTGCTATGGATGTGGCCATTTCCTCCAATGGACACACGTGTCCTTTAAAAGACATACTGTATTTTCTTCCCACCTTTTCCTTCATCCTCCTCTTTTCTATATATATTTTAATTGTCTTTTTGATCAAAGTAATGTTTCATTTAATGGAATAACATTTTTCTTCCCTCTCCCCAACCCTCTTTTTTTTCCCTCTGACCTCCTAGTTCTTGGATGTTACGACTGTAGGGTAGCACTGACCAATCCCACTGGAATGTTCAGCTCTCCATGCTTTCCCAGTGATTACCCCAACAGCCAAACATGCAAATGGACCATCCAAGCCCCTCGGGGATACATCATTCAGATAACATTTATTGACTTTGACATTGAAGAAGCTCCAAACTGCATTTATGATTCATTGACATTAGACACTGGAGGACACGAGGTTAAATTTTGTGGTGTCACTGCCAAAGGATTGTCCTTTAACTCCACTGGAAATGAAATGATTGTGTCTTTTACAAGTGACTTTAGTATCCAAAAGAGAGGCTTCAACGCAAGCTATACCCGAGGTAGGTAAACTTAAAGCACTTCATTCTTGTATTATCTAGCAAGCAAGCTTGTTGAATGTGCAATGGTGAATCTTCCATGTGTGAATCTGAAGCCCCTGACTTCAAACATATTCACAGGTCAGACTATATCAATAAGATTGTACTCTTCATGCTTTTTAATCATGTAATTTTTGTGTGAATGAAGATATAGGATGTGGTTTTCTCGCTGCATATAGCTTACTAAGGACACTTGAAAACAATTTAACATGGTTTAGGCTCACATGCGTACTACAGGACATGGGCAAGTGGTGCCACCTTAGAGAGGACACGTGCCCCACCTAGCGACCAGTCACAGTCGGCAACGGGGGGGGAAAAGGGGGGTCCCCCCATGGCCAATCTCACTGACCAGGAAGTGGCCACAGCGTTCCCAGAAGTGGCCGCGGTGCTCCTGCCTGCCCCCACAGCCCATTGCCTAAGAGGGGAGCACGACCTGTCAGGAGGTGCACTAGAGCTCTCAGGGGGTGCACATGCACCCCCTACATGCTACGGGGTATGAAAGTGACACTCATCTTTAACACTAGAAACCTGCATAAAGGGCAGGACGTTATAATCTGATTCCCAGTTCTGAGGTCAGCAGCAGAAGGAATTCAACACATCCAGGGATAAGGTCTAGCCTCTGGCACATTGGAGCTCTCCACAGCAAGGGTAAAGCAGGTCTGTGCAGGAGACAGAACTTTCTCAGGGGCTGGTTCAAGACTGCCGAATGATGCTGTCCCACCTCCCAGCCCAGCTAACTAAGGGACATCACAAACCTCAGCACCTCCAGCTCCAACTGCAATGTGTGTTTGTTTGACCTTGTTTCCTCTAACATACATACGTGGCAACATAGATCATTCAAAAAAATAATCACCAAAACAAGACATTCTGCTGTACACACTTCTCCCTCGAGGGAGAGGGCTAGAGAACAAGCAGCACATGACAGATGTTAGACACATTGCTTAATGCGCTACTGGAAACGCTCAGATACTGCAGTGATGAGTGCAGTATAAGTATTTATTTGAAATAGAATAGAATGAGTAGCAGTCCCTGACCTTGTTTTCTCTGAATGCTAGAATAGCTTCCCTAGATTAAATTTTATACAAATGAACTATTTCCTCATCTTGCTTATTCCCAGAAAGCCTTTTTTTTTTTTTTTTGAAGGAACAGGGGATGTCTGCATTGATTCTACAGTGCTTCTGAGAGCACTGCTGAGAAGTATGCCCTGTCAAACTTCTCCCACCCAGCCCTGTACCAACCCAGAAGTGAGGTAGTGAAACTACCCTGAAGGTGCCTCGCTTTCTTCCCCCGCGAGCGTGCTAGAGGTAGCATGAGAGTGGCAGCAGGGCCTGATCTCCAAGACAGTTTCACTACTTCATTTCTGGGTTTAGCATTTATGGAGAGGGAGCAAATGGGGAAGATGTTCTTTAAGTTATACCACAGTCATTTCCTGTGAAACACCCTGAGTATTGATATTAATATTTATTTGGATTGAGGTAGTACTTTGGAGCCCTAGTAATAAGCAAGGGATTCATTGTGCTAAGTACTGCACAGACCCAGAAGAGTAAGATGATCTTCACCTTGTCAGACTTACAGCCTCTTTCACACTCAACTACACCTTGACTTTACAAAATAAATAAGTGAATTCTTAAAATCAGAGGGCAGAAGAATGAAAGCCTGTTACACAAGCTAAATCTGTTTACAATCCTGAAATGAAAAAATGTAACACTATAGACAGGAAGTTAGAAATGTTACTAAGGTTCATTAGAAGCATCTAAGAAGTTACTCTGGGTGACAAAAGCAGTTTCTGCTGTGCTCAGAGCAAGCAGAATATAATCTGGATAATAAAAGAAAAAGTAGTGTAAGCAGATGTTCAAAGTGATGCATTTACACTACTATTTTTCAAGTTTGCTAGGGATCCTCCCATCCTTTCTCCACTAATAGATACTTTATTTTAAACATTCTCTCCCACAAATATTTCTGTAGAATATTCTGGTGTGAATGAGATTACTTGTGGAGTAAAATATTACTCAGCAGGTGCATCTACACATACCATTAAGACAACATGATAAACTCTGGCAGTTTGTGTCAGAGATTTTATGGTGATTTAATGGCATGTGTAGATGCTCAAACTGCTGTGGACCAGGGCACACATGCAGATGCTGCACCCAGGACTGCAGTAGTCTGAGCTGGAGTGGAGCAGCCCTGGGCTGGCAGGGCCCTGGAGGGTCAGCCTGAGTCTATGGAAGGCAGTGTTGGTCATTGGAGAGGCTGGCTGGAGCACAAGTGTGCCCCAATGTGCAGAGCCCTGTGGCTAGACGGCAGGCAGGGGTCTGGCTCTCTGCTGCCTGGGCTCACTGAGTGCAATGTACACCCAGGTTCAGCATTTACATGTGTATTTAGGTGCAGTAATTTTTGCTGCAGTAAGACAGTACTGTCCCCGACAGTACTATCTTGCTGTGGCAAAAATTAGTTTGTTGTAGTCTAATAGTGTCACACGTGTAGACTGTGATACTTTACACCACAGCAAATTATATTGCTGTACACCTGCAACCAGCTTATCTAAGAGCCATTTTTTGACCTTGAGTGTCAGGAAGCATTGACTTCATCCAAGAATATAATTGAACTGTAATCATTGAAACAGCTGGATAAATTCCCCTATCAACTAGTTGTGCAATTCCCCTGATTTCAGCAGAGTTACAAAAGTACAACTCATGGCAAAGTTTAGCCCTGACAGGCTGTAAAACTGCAGTTCAGTCGAAAATGTTACCCTTTTAACATTCATATAAAAGAGAACCATTCCATGGAGAGACCTGAGGAATGGTCCAGTGGTACCAAAAACCACGTTTATATTCTTTCCAACTATACAATTGGTCCAATAAAAAGTATCATCCATAAAAATCCTGACCATCCCAAAATAATTTGGTGAAAAAACCACCTGGATATTACAGGAAAAATAGAAGTAGTTAGCCATGTTAGTCTGAAGTCAGGCAGAAGACAAATAAAAGGAAAACAGTGAATTTCACACTTGTATGGCTAGTATTAACTTTATTGTTCTGCCCTCCATAAGTACAAAGAACTTTTATTGCTATCACTGAAAGCATGTCACAAATATAGTACAAAGGGGCATGATATTATAGCCAAGATCTGTTCTTAAGATCTTAGAGCCCTTTAGTCAAATTTGAACGTTATTACTACCACCAGTATAAAACACAGAAGAGTTATGGATTTCCCCCAGATGTTAGGGATAATTTGAGCATTTTTTATTATACCTGTTTTATTAAGCATATTTTCATGGACCATCCCTGCAATAATTGTATGATAATGACAGAAATGATTAGTTCAGTTTGACTTTAGTTAGATTTTGACAGAGTAATAAAAGTTTGGTAATATAAGGGGTTTTGAAAAAACTGGACAATTTGCTATCCTAGATATGCTGCTATAAACTTGTTAGCAGGTAAATATACCAGTTAGTATATAATAAGTACATGAGCCAATCTACATGCAGATAGAACAAGAAAATGAGGTTAGGGAAGGGTTTAGGTGAAAAGATACAGTTTTTGTGGGGTTTTGAAATGTTACATGAATTAAAGTACTAAATCCTCAGATGGAGTAAACAGATAGCTCTGCTGAGTTCAATGGAACTATGCAAGCATCTATCAACAGGTAACTTGGCCCCTTAACCATTTCCCCAGTATTAATTATCTGTGGAAATAATTCTCGGTTTGGTACAGGGAAGTTATTCAGTCAACAGTTGGAAAAGGAGGTGAGAACTGCAATACAATCTCTCATGTATAAATATTTCAAATCCTAACATAGGTGAAATTTAAATGCAGGCAGTAACGGCAAAAGGTGTTATATTCGGCATGGATTTGATACAACATAGTTATTATATACACGTACTGTCACTTGTCAGGCAGGTGTTTGATATGTAGAAAGAAATAGACCCTGTTAAAGCTGTCTTTTGAGGGCCTGTCTCTTTAGGCTGACTGGCAGCTGTATCTGGTAAAAGCTAAAAACAATAGGAAACCATTGTGCAAAGCAGTGGTCCTCACGGCTAGGCCAATTAGAAGCTAAATCATGGAGGTGGGAGATTCAAGGAGTTTCCCTTGGGTAACAGCAAAATGCAGGGGTTTGGGAATAAATTGTTAGAATCTGTGTATGCCTCAGTGGGTATGAAAAAAGGAGAGCTGAGATATTGGACATGGCCCTGAAAAGAAGCTGGAAGCTAGAGCTATTTGTGATCACATAGTTTACTGTCCACTGTCATTTGTTTCTACTGTATCCAGGGGAGCAGGCCTTTCTTTATAAATAAACAGGATTACATCAAAGCTGATTGACATCTTCAGTTTTTTCTGCCTAACAAACAATCCTGCTGGGTTTTATATAGTGTCTACCGAATAGTTCTTCACCAGGGTGTGGCGGCACTCTGAGGTGTCATGGGAACCTGCCAGGGGTGCTGCGATGCTGGCACCACCACCACTACCCCCATGGGGCAAAACTGTGCTACATGCCTGGCTTTTCAGGTGTCACATTGGAGACAAACTGACAAATGGCTGGAGCAGGCAGGTCTGATCCTGCATGGTATCTCTGATAAAAGGAAGTGCACAGAGCAGTTTCACTTCACAGTCTGGAGACAGATACTGCTGCCACCAGGAAGAACCACCTTAAGCACCTCTGGTCTGGAGCCAAACGAGGAAGAGATGCAACAGGAGCACACAGTCCTGTCCTAGCCAATTCCCATTCCAGGTCTGCAGGAGGCACACAGCACAGTTCTACCTGACCATGGCATCAGTGGCAGAGACTGCACAGTGGCACCCTCTTGGCCTTCTCCCTCCCCACTCCCAGACCTCATGTGTCTTTTTGCCCACCCTTGCCCCTCCCACCCTCTCAGCACTCCTTGCATGCTGCATGTGCAGCCCAGCACCTTGTCCCTGCCAGACAGACATCACCAGACTCTGCCCCTTACTGCCCCAAGTATCAATATTAATAACATATTATTTAATAATATAATTATAATACTTATATGGTAATATACATAAGTATATTTATAATAGTTTTTTTAAATAGGGTTCCACTAAATTCTTGGAAAGTTTTGGAGGGGTGTCTTGAGTCTAAAAAGGTTGAGAACTACTGATCTAACCACTTGACCAAAAGGGCAAGTCATATAGTGAACAGCTCCTTAAGTACAGACATCTGAGACTCATCAAAATGATGAATGGCTTGTGCATTCAGTAACTGAGAGAGAAATCTGCTGTTATATTGATTATAATGTTCTACACTCTATGTATGCCCAAAACATTCACTGATGTTAATTTTGCCCTTTCATTGTGGATAGGGACAGAAATTAAATATAAACCAAAATAAGTGGTCAGAAACTGGTTCAAATCTGTAACACAACAGAAGTTTGTTGGGCATAAACTGATTTCAAAATGGCCAAAACGGGTTTAAGATAAACCTAGATCGATGTAGTATCAGACTTAACTGATTTAGGTTAAATCAGTTTATTGAACTTCTGTCCCAGATCCCCAGATTCAAGTTATCTCTCAGTCCCCCAGCATCCCAGGATGCTTTGTACCTCTCCCACAAGCTGCCCCCCCCCATAGGGTGGGTGGGCTAGCCTTGGCCCAAGCTGTCTGCTCTAGCTGAGCAGGGAAGCATGCTCTAGCGCCCCTGGCTTCAGGCCTGGGCCTCTGCAGACATGTGGCAGCATTTCTAGAATTAGAAGTGAGTGGCTGTTTATTTATTCATTCAATCTATGCATCTTAGATTAACCTGGGAAGATTTAATCGATTCAGTCTCAAGCTTTTTGACTGTCTGTACTTAGCCTGTGGGTGTAAGCACCTGCTATTAAAACCCACTACCACCAGCAACAGCATGACCTCAGTTACAAAACAGATTAGAATCATTCAGTATCACAGCAAATTTACTGAGCATGTTAACATTGTTCTTATACTGTTTTCATACAACCAGTGCTCTGAGTATTCGTGACCTTCCTAAATGCACAATGAATAGGATTTGTATAATAAACCTCCCTCTCCTATTTCTGACTTCCTCATTTTGGAATATTTGGCATATCATCTTTCTAATAATAATGATGATGATGATGAAACTATGGAATTGCTCTTGTTAATTAAGGGAAAGCATAACCCAGTTTCCATTTACAAATTATTAAAGCTGTCTTTGCAGAAAGGACAGAATCCACAAGTTGAATATGATAGGGGCAAGGATTTCTTGGGGTTATATCTTTTATTAAAACAACTGCATAATTAAGATAGAGTTAGACAAGCTTTTGAAGAAGTCTTGCATTTGAAAGCTTGTCTAACTCTATCCCAACTATTTAGGTAGTCCAATAAAAGTATCACCCCAATAAGTTCTTACTGCTCTCAAAATTACTGGACTGTCATGACTCTTAGAGTGCTTCCTACAGCATCATTCTAAAATTACCATAATGTGGTGAATATGAAAATCATGAAAGAGCAATATTTTCTAATTCTTTTCCTCCATCAGCTCCATCATCAAAACAATACATATATAGTACTAAACAAAATTATTTTAGCTAAATTCTGTCCTTGGGTGCCTACCCCCAACTCCTATCAAAGGAATTTACTCTAGTCTACTTGGAGGTACAGTTTGAACTGGAGAGCTCAATTTGTTCTTGCAAACAAAAAGGAAGAAGTGATAGAATTGCTCACATGATATTGCTTTAGCATATAGACTCTTTCTACCTATACTCTCTATATACTTACTCTCGTATACACTAGATTTTAATCTATTGTTAAAAAGGAGCAGGTGCTCCTGGATTGTTATCCTAGGTAATGCAGTCACACTTTGCTATCCCAGTGAAGATCAAGGCCCTTAAAATGATGAAAACTAGTTCCTGTTCAAAATAGTTTTCTGTTTAAATCAACCATATGACAGGGGAAACAAGAGCCACAGTGGGATGGTGTGATTTGCCTACATAACACACAACAGATCTGTAGCAAAGCCAAAATTAGAATCTAAGTCCCCTGATAACTAGTCCAGTGACCATCCTACTAGATAGGGCTGTGTGAAACTTCAATCGCTGATTCAATTTGGTGGAGTTTTGGCACAATTGGTGGCCAAATCTCTGAATCTGAATCAAATCAGGAGACCCTTTAATCTCTCTCAATCAAACTGAAACCCTCCAAATCAATTAGGAGAGATTCAGAAAGATTCCATGATTCGGACATAGACACAGCTTTAAATGTTTTTTCTACATACTTCAAGGTACCAGTCAGCTTGCAAATGCTGTGATGCTGGAGCAGATGGAGTATCCCACAGGAGCGGGGGGAGGTGGGGGGGGGGTCTCCATCATGCTCAGGCCACCAGGGAGCACACAGGGGGGCCCCCCGCACTGCCCCTGGCTTGGCAACTGGTGCCTCCTGGGTCTGGGGGAGCACCTGGGGTCCCCCTGCAGCCAATTGCCAAGCCAGGGAGCTGCGGGGCGGGGGACCCCGTGCACTTGGCAGCGGACCCAGAAGTGAACTGGAAGTAGTTCTGGTCTACTTCCAGGTTTGCCACCGAACATGCAGGGAGCCCCCCTGCACTCCTGTGGGACACTCCACCCACTTCCACCATTGAAGTGTTCACAAGCCGTGCCTGGTATCTCGAGGTATGTAGAAAAAACATTTAAAGCTGTGTCTATGTCTGAATTGCTGATTTCTGAATCAGCATCGAATCTTTAGATTTAGATTCGGCTGAATCGATTCAGGACAGTGATACTAATCAATTAATCGAATCACTGTCCCTGATTCTGCCCGAATCCAAATCCAAATCAAATGTGGCCCATTTTGCACACCCTTACTACTAGATCACATTGCCTTTCAATAATTGTGCTCGATGGGTAACCTGGGACTTGTCTACATTGGAAAATTTACCAGCAGAATTATACCACTATGGTTATATCAGTAATGTTGTCACTATCATTCTCAAAGAAGAATATGCACACAGGAAATTATACCTATATGACTATAGGGATTTAATTAGCTCAGTTTATTTCTGCCTTTAGTTTCTCATGTTAACACAGCCTAAATAGTATGCTGCTGTTCTTTGCTGGCTTATGGGATAATTGATACTTCTCAGGCAAGACAATAACAAATAAGATATATCAAATGATGAACAGGAACAGTAAATGTTCTCTTTCGTGTATAAAACCCCTTGTTCATAGCCATTTCTGTAAAGAAGTTCAGCTATCTTAGATACATTTGTAAAATCCCCACTCATTCCTACAAATACTCACAAGTAGTGAATGGCAAAGGCATGAGTACACATGAATAAATACTTGCAATATTAAACTAGTTGACTTTTGAGAAACAGACTCATAATCCAACAGAAGTCCATTAGCTGAGTTCAGGAACAAAAGATTTTAATTTGCCAAGGATTATAGTTGAGTCAGTCTTCTAAGATGTGTGGCACTGAATTCAGTGGAGAAATGCACTCATGCAAAATAAGTCATTAAAAATATTAGTAAAAACCATCAAATCAAATAAAATGTGGTTTTGAAATGATTTTCAAATACTGTATCGTCTAATGCATCCTTGCAAGTTACCTGATAAATGAAAAGTAATTTTACAAATATCTTGTTGACTGCAGACTTAGAGGCTAATATATTTCTTATGCAAGCCTCAACAGTTTGCACCTATAGATAATGCAGCACTAAAATGATCTTTGCACATTTTATTTGAATATGTTATCAAGCTAAATAGCTCTTTATATGTACCACTGATGTAATACAGTGATGAAAGCTTCCTCATAAATGTTTTGTTTAACGAACTGTACTTCAGTCATTGTCATTAATCGAATGGGTACCTCCTTTTGGCTCATTTATATAATTTATGTTATTTTATCTTCTAGTTGCTGTGTCTCTGAGAAATCAAAAAATCGTCATCCCCCAGACCTCAGGTGCTGAAACCGTGTCTGTGGCAAAAACTGTCTCAATACCAGATCTTAGACAATTCACACTCTGCTTTGAAGCAACCAAAGCCATCAATGATGACAATGATGACTGGAAAGCTTTCTCCTACAGTGATTCTTTGTCAAAAGAGTGCCTCAGTTTTGGGAAGACAACAAAAGGCCATTTACTACTTATCTCAGGCATAGAATGCATGTTAGAAGATGCACTGGACAAAAATCCAGCTGGAGACTTTTTTACAGGAACATTTGAACAACTCTGCATTGTATGGGATGGCTTTTCTGGCACTCTAGGTATAAATGCAAAGAACACCTATCATACAATTTACTGCCCAGGTACCTTTCAAAAGATTATCCCTAGGAATGGGAACCTAGTGTTGGGCTCTGACAGAGATGAAATAAGCTCTCTAAATGGAGACATTTACAATTTCCGTCTTTGGAATTTCACCATGAATTCCCAAACACTGTCCAATCTCAGCTGTGATGTGCCAGGGAACATTATAGACTGGGAAAATGAATTCTGGAGTATCCCAACATCAGCACTGAAAGCAGAAAACAATTTAAGTTGTGGTAAGTATTTTTTTCCTCATTTTTGTGCCTCTGAATTGTTCCAAAGGTATCATATGTCAGCAAGAGATGGCATATTCACAGTTACAGCAGGAAGAACTTCCCAGAAGCAGCCTTACCTTTCTTAAGCCTGCAAGCTTCCCTTGCCCCAAATATGAACTTTGCTCCTGGGTATGTTTATACCTTTTGTTTAATTACACCCATATCCAGGCTGACTTTGAGGTTTTTTTAAACGATATATGAGTTTATTAAAAAGAAAAAATATAGTTTAATATATATATATATATTTTAAAAAAATAAAATAATATATATATATATATATATATATATAGATATGTCTAGATATAGCTAGATATTTTAATTACATTTCATATATATTAATTATAACATTCAGAATAGAAGCAATCAATAACCAAAAGTAATAAAAATATATGAATAATAATTCTCTGATATTTCTTTCAATAAACTCATCACTTAAAAATTATATTAAGACAAATTAGTTAACTTATATGTAGGGAGGTGAAGGAAGATAAAGTAAGCTTTTGCTGAAACTGTGTAATAGATAGCAGTAGTTTATGGGCATGTGTAGATGAAACGGGGGCCCTAAATTGAAGTGGTGGGTTTTAAACAACACCGCTTCAATTTAGGCCTGATTAAACCCCCGTGTTGTGTACACACCCAGCTGACTTACCTGCCTCTCTGGCAGGGAGGGGAGGGTGAGCTGCCAGTGGGCGGAGCGGTTCCTGGGCTGTGAGAGAGGC